AGGAGCTGCAACCCTCAAAGGCATCGTCCCCAATGTGCGTCACTAAGTCGGGAATGGTCAAGTGCACCAAAGAGCTGCAATGCCGAAAGGCACCATGCCCAATGTGGGTCACTGAGTTCGGGATGGTCAAGTTCACCAAGGAGCTGCAATTTCGAAAGGCATAGTCCTCCATGTGGGTCACTGAATCAGGGATGGTCAAACTTGCCAAGGAGCTTTAACCATCAAAGGCATTTTCCCCAATGTGGATCACCGAGTTCGGGATGACCAGTTTGGCCAACCTTCTGGCTCCCAGGAAGGCCTGCCTTGAAATTTCAGTTTTATGGCCTGGGATTTCAACCACAAAGGGGTGGTCCAAATCAACATCACTCCCAAAGCTGGCAAGTTCACCTTTCTTGGAGCATCTCGCGATGTTTGGCTTGAAAACAACAGTCACAAGAGCATCTGCAGCCTGCCCTGCGTCCACCACCTCGTCATTGTCAAGCACACGACCTCCAACAACAATCTCCACCACGGTAGTTTGGCGAGTGACCACGTCTCAAAGCTGCCCTTCTTTGATCATGATCTGCTGCTTTAGCTCTCGAGCCGTTGTCTCTGGCGTCACTTGAAGATAAAGTTCCTTGCCATTCACCCTCAGCGCTGAAATCATCATTGTCATGGCTGCGTTACAATCACGGTTTGCTATGGCTTGCTGTGATAGCTGGTTTGGGGCAATCAATCGCTGGGTTCCTCACTCTCATGCCAAAGGGAACTTTGTTGCATAGGATCTGAACTTTCAGTATTACGTCTTTTGCAGCTTCTGTCTGTTCTGCCATCTTGCACCTGCTCACAAGCAGGGCAAAGCAAGGCAACGAGACATCTACAAATGTCGGCAAGCCACAGAAGTGGGCAAAAGAACTTCCATTCGATCGAACGGTGTGCCAATGTTGCTAAAGGTAATCGTTTTGATGGGAAAACATCTCTATACCCATTCTTTTCCAAGAATGGAGATCCACCAGTGAAAATTGTGTAGATTGGTCTAGCCAGGTGACTTCTTGGCAAAAAGATAGGATGAACCGATGAACCTTGACCTTCAAAGTTACAAAGATATTTAACGTCGATATAGCTATATCACTGTCATTAACTGTCGATATATTTCATATTGGGCTCCATCTGCAACGTTCACATCGACCTCACGTTCGCCTATGCTCCCAGGTGGCACCTCGGTTCTCCGGTCTCCGGAAAGCGCGGGGTCCACGTAGTCCTCCACCTGGACGCCGTGGAATGCCACGGCACACCCCGGTGGCGGTGGCGGTGCTGACTCTGCGCGGATGGATCCGGATTTTTTCAATCAGTAATTTGTGGACCTCGAAATCTCCTTCCTTGGCCTTTTTGGCAGTTTATCTATAAAAGTCAACCCAAACGATCCAAACAGCCCTTGGTCCCTCGAAACCTAGGGATTTGAGACCCCAGACCCCTCCATATGAGGGTCCGACCCCTCCATATGAGGGCCCATGAGCAGTACATCAGTAATTCGTGGACCTATTCAAAATCCAATGCCTTGCCCTATAGCAGTTTCTCTGTAAAAGTCCACCCCCTTGCCGCACCGTGCATAAAAGATTGCAAAAGCACAAGACTTTATATTACGACGAATCCCGAGCGGGGAAAATGTTCACTAGTAGGACTTGAACTTCTTCTTATTATTCTTCTTGTTCTTCTTCTTCTTCTCGGTGCCACTAATGCCACCTACACAATGCCTGAACCCTCCGTCGTAGCAGAAAAAAGTGACAGAAAAAAACTGCACATCATCAAAAAAAGTGTTCATGCCTTGAAAAAGCGTACCACTGGAAAGTCAAATGTAGCTTCATTCCACCTTATGTGGTCTTCAAGTCCATTCCCCTGCCACATGCTGGCACCCATCCCATGCACACACAACACACGCTCACACACTACGAAGCGGCCGCCAGCAACCCCTTTCTTTGATCATCAGTATCAATATAAAATATTTACAGTAAGTAAATTAACAATCCACCACTTTTTAAAATTGCGCCCGGGTTGCGGGAATTTGCGCCCAAGTTGCGGGCACCCTTCTTGGAAAAATTGTTGTAAAGCACGCCCAGAAGGTTGAAACCAAACCTTTGTGGTTTCATTTGCACATACTACTAGTAGGAGGTCATATAGGATTTCCACCCGGTACATAGGGCCCCCAAAGGCCCACAAGGGTTGATAAGGACACTGGTCAGGAACCAGTAGGCTTTAGAATTTACATCACCAAAAAGCGCTCATATGTCCTGAAAAGTGTACATACCCTCAATTAACGCTCAAACTTCCAATAAGTGCTCCAAACCATGGTTCGCCAGAAATAAGTGCTACAAAGGATGCTTCAGGTGCTGCTATTATCTGCTATTGGTCCTATTGCACCTGCCACTGAAGTCACGGGCCTTCGCGCCGTGTTTCTTGGCCCCACCTCCTTGTGCTCGGCTTGGCGAGACTCGCTCTCCACGTCGTCCACCCGCGTGACGCGCGCCTGGCGAGACGCTCGTGCGCCGGTGCCGGAGGCCTCCGGGGTCGGCGGCCCCGCCTTCGCCAAAGCCTCCCACAAATCGCGATCCTGGCGCAGCCGATCTGCGCCAAGGGTCGATTGGGATAGGAACACGGTGGCACCGAACGAAACACATGATCCATGCGGACCAACGAGTGATGGACAAAATCGATAGAGGGGCTTCTTGAGGATGTTCAGGGTCGGCCCCCCTTCCGTTTTCCATTCTGAAGCAACCGGGGGGGCTGACCCAAACCATTGTCCAATCCTCACATGACATCTTTTCGTTGCTCCCGAGGGTGGCTCCATCAACTAGGAATGACACTCCAAACCACCCGACTTCGGAGGTCACACTCCCTATGGATTCACATAATTACCTCTTCAGTTTCGGCACAACGCCACACCCTCCCAGTCTATACAAAACAAATAAAAACACATAAAACTAACACTGTCTTCAATCACCTTCTCAAAGCATAGGGACTGAGAAACCAGGTCGCTTGCTCCGCTCCCGTGACTAGCTGTGGTGCAGCGATCGACGTCGGTGGTCTGACTGAGTGGCTGTGTTGCCTCGGTCTCAGCACCTGAGCCTCATCCCGACCTGCTGAGCCCCACCCGACCTGCTGAGCCCCACCCGACCTG